AAATAAGCTTGGGAGCCTTCCCTCCTCTTGAATTTTTTGTGATAGTTTGAGGATAGATGTTAAATCTTCTTCAAGTGTTTGGTAAAATTCACCCGTGAAGTCATCTAGTGCAGGACTTTTGTGTGTTGGGAGTTTTTGTTTTTGTTTTAATTACTGATTTGGTTTGGTTGGTAGCGATTGGTCTGTTCAGATTTTTGTTTCTTCTTGATTCATTCTTGGAAGATTGTATGTTTCATCCAGATTGCCCAATTGGTTGGCATATCGTTCATAGTATTTTTTTTTTTTTAAATAATCCTTTGTACTTCTTTGGTGTCAGTTGTCACTTCTCTTTCATGTCTGATTTTATTTATTTGTCTCTCCCCTGCCAGAGTTCAGTTTTTTATTTCATGTGTTACAAGAGAGGTTTAGTCAAAAAGACCAAAGCATTTGTCATCACCAGACTCCCCGGATTCTTTCTTTGCTTCCACTTTCTTCTCCTCAGTGGGACGGCGGTGGTAGAGGAGCAGGATCTCCAGTCCACACACCTGCTGGGCCGGGCCCACCAGGCCTTACTTGCAGATGAAGCTCCCGATGTTGACATTGGCCAGAGCCTTTGTAAACAAGCCTGGCCAGAAAGGTTCAAATTTACACCAGCTGCTTTTAAGGAGGCCATTGATCATATCCTCTGTGACTGTTATCTCATCGTCATGCAGGATGAGGGCTGAGTAGATGCAGGCGAGCTCAGACAGAAGACACGGAATGGGCGAGGGCTGGGCAAGTGCTTCCAGGCACGGTGCTCATTGTGGAATGAGGTGAGGGGCTCACAGGGCTTAGCTTCCAGTGGAGGACTGAACATCTTTTTTTTTTTTTTTTTAATATATTTTATTGATTTTTTACAGAGAGGAAGGTAGAGAGATAGAGAGCTAGAAACGTCGATGAGAGAGAAACATAGACCAGCTGCCTCTTGCACATCCCCTACCGGAGATGTGCCCGCAACCAATGTACATGCCTTTGACCGGAATCGAACCCGGGACCTTTCAGTCCGCAGACCGACGCTCTACCCCTGAGCCAAACCGGTTTCGGCAGGACTGAACATCTTATTGGCAACTGGGGAAAGCTCTCTCTTTTTTTGCTTGGTGAGTCTAGTCAAAAGTTTATCGATTTCAAGTTTATATTTTCAAAGAACCAGCTCTCGGTTTCATTAATCTTTTGTGTTGTTTTTTAGACTCTATTTTGTTGATTTTCACTCTGATTTTTATTATTTCCTTTCTTCTACTCACTTTGGGCTTTGTTATTCTTTTTCTAGTTCCTGTAGGTTTAGCATTAGATTATTTGAGATTGTTTTTGTTCCTAGAAGTAGGCTATAATGCCAGGAATTTCTGTGTTAGGACTGCTTTTGCTATGTCCCATAGATTTTGGGTCATTGTATTTTCATTTTTATCTGTCTCAAGATATCTTTTGATTTCTTCCTTGGTCTCATTGTTAACACATTTATTGTTTAATAGCATGTTATGTAGACTCCATGTGTTCATGTGTTTTTTCAGTTTTCTTAATTTCTAGTTTCATACCATTGTGGTAGGAGAAGATGCTTGATATGATTTCAATTTTCTTAAATTTATTGAGACTTGTTTGGTGGCCTAACATGTGGTCTATCTCAGAAAATATTCCATGTGCACTTGAAAAGAATGTATATATTGCTGCTTTATCATGAAATGCTCTAAAAATATCATCGGTTCTGTGTCATTTAAGGGTGCTATTTCCTTGTTGATTTTCTGCCTGGAAGACCATCCGTTGATATCAATGGTATATTAAAGTCCCTACTATGAATATATTATTGATCTCTCCCTTTATGTCCAATGATGTTTTTAAAATATATATCTTATTGATTTTCTTTATAAAGAGGAAGGGAGAGGATAGAGAGTTAGAAACATTGATCAGCTGCCTCCTGCACACCCCCTACTGGGGATGTGCCCGCAACCAAGGTGCATGCCCTTAATCAGTATTGAACCTGGGACCCTTCAGTCCACAGGCCGACACTCTATCCACTGAGCCAAACCAGTTAGGGCTGCACCTTGTTTTCTTAATCATTCAGATACTCTGTGTCTTTTGATTGGAACATTTAGTCTATTTACATTTAAAGTGATACATATATAGTTATTGCCATTTTTATTGTTTATGTTTATATCCCTTTCCTCCTTTTTCTTAAGTCCCATTAACATTTCTTGTAATACTGGTTTGGTGGTGATGAAATCCTTTAGCTTTTTCTTGTCTTGGATGCTCTTTAGCACTCGTTCATTTTTCAATAAGAGCCTTACTATGTAGAATAGTCTTGATTGTAGGATCTTTCTTTTTATCACTTGGAATATTTCATGCCAATCCCTCTGGCCTACAAAGTTAATGTTGAGAAATCAGCTGACAGTCTTATGGGAGTGCCCTTGTAAGCAACTGGCTTTCATTTACTGCTTTTAAGGTTTTCTCTTTATCTTTAACCTTTGGCATTTTAATTATGATGTGTCTTGGTGTGGGCCTCTTTGAGTTCATCTTGTTTGGAATTCCCAGCAGTTCCTGAACTTTTATGTCTACTTCCTTTGCCAGGTTAGGGAAGTTTTCAATTATTGTTTCTTCAAATACTATTTCTTCTCAGACCCTTGCTTTGTCTCTTCTCCAACATTGTTACACTGAATGTTGTATCATAAGTCTCTTAAACTATTGTAATTTCTAAAGTTTTTTTTTAGCTGTTTTTAATGGGTGTTTTTTGCTACATTGTCTTCTATTTAGATGCTGATTTGATGCTTCATCTAATGTGCTGTTGATGCCTTCTCGTGTATTCATTTGTTATTGTATTTGTTTCTGAGCATTTTTATAATTACGGTAGTGTTTGCACTCTGTATCTGATAGACTTCTTGACTCCATTTAATTTAGTCCTTTTTTCTGGAGATTTCTCCTATTTCATTTCGGAAACGTTTGTCTCTTCACTTTGGTTTTATCTCTGTGTTTGTTTCTCTGTAATAGGTAGATCTGCTACGTTTCCCAGGCTTGGCAGGATAGCCTTATGTAGGAGGTGCCTTGTGGGGACCCAGTGGCACAGTCTCACTGATCACCTGATCCAGATGCTCCAGTCGTGCCCTTCCTGTGGGTTGTGTGTGCCCTCCTGTTGTAGTTGAGCCTTGATTGTTATTAGCACTTCAGTATGTGGGGTTAACCCTCAGGTTGACTGGCTGTGAGGATTGATCACAGAATATGAGATGCTGTCTAGAATCTGACCCCAACGAGTGGGATTTACCCCAATGGGGTCTTGTGCCTGCCAACACCTCTCTTTGGGTGTGCCACTTATGGAGCTAATCAGGTGGTGGCCTGTTTTGCTCTGAAGCTGGTGTGTTGGTTCTGGGGCCTCTTGGGAGGGGCTGGTGCAGGTCAATGTCAGATGCTGCCTTTGACCAGCTACCTGTTGGGAGCTACAAGGTGATCTGCAGTTGGTAGCTGCCTGTTCTGGGCCTGGATGTTCATGGGAGGGGTGCACTGCACTGAGGCTGGTGTCACCTGGGCAGGTTAGCAAAAGGCCCAAGGCGCCCTGATACCCACCTCTGCCTGCCAGCTGCCCATAAGGCTCAGTTGCCGACAGACCCTTGGGCAGAATGTGAGTTGGGTGAGGCAGGGTCTCAGGGAGTTGTCAGGGTGGAGCTAATGGAATTCACCAGGCTAATACAGAATCAGTTTTAGTTGTGTGTGTGGGGGGGGGGAGGGGTGAGCGTGCATGCATGGGGGGAGGGTGGTTGGGCTCAGAGGGCTCAGCACAGAGACAATGGTGGCTGTCCCTCCAGCTCTCTCACTCTGGAGCCACACAGTTTAGTTTCTCCCTGTAGGTATCTGGCATCCCAAGCCCCCACCCCAAGCTTGATCAGAGGCTTGTTTTTTAAAGATAGACTGCAACTGTGGAGGAGGGCATAGGGACAAAAATGAGGGACATCTGGAATACTCTCAACAACAACCACAAAGATAGACTGCAACTTGGAGAAAAGTTGGATATAAAACTCTTGTGTATGGTCTCAAAATTATTTAGAAGATCAGAAGAAAAACCAAATTGGTGTCTGACAGTTGGTGGCAGAGTGATTACTTTTATTTTGTAATCTTGTATTCCAAATTTTCTACAATAGAAAAACTTCAGAGGGATACTGATCAACTAGAAAGTATACCCTTTGGGAAGTAAAAAATCTAGAAAACTTATACTAATCAGAGGAAAAATAACAGTCAACTGTTTTTGAAACACTTGTGATGGCATGAAATACACTAGCTTCTGAGTGCTCACTCTGTGCCCGGTGCTGTGCGGCACACAGGGGTGGTGGGGTAAACTTGCAAGCACCACAGCTTGATTTTGAACCCATGTCTTATACTTTGTATTGATAGTCACTGTCTCCTAAGCTAGAAACCTTTCATTGTCCATGTCAGACCATTATTTTTGTTTTATTTACTGTAATTACCTAGTGGCTAGGGAGGAGGGTGACCCAGCAAGGTGAAGAGATAAAGTTATTGTACTATGATGGTTGTTTAATAGTAAAGAGTCTGGAGACAGTTGTTTCACAAAAAGATATATTTTCATATGGCTATTTACATTTTTTCATAGTTAATGAATATCATACAACTGATACTGTCTGCAATGTTTCATGCTTTTAAATTCTTTCCTATTTACACTTTCCTGACATGGAATTAAAACTAAAGTGGTTAAATACCTCAGTAATAGAATGCAACCAGTCAACGTAGCTAGTGTCTTCTCTTAAATTTGCTGATCAACATTAGCAATAGTTACCTTAATAATAAATTATCTTTCATTTAAAAATCAGTAGTAATTTTAAACAACTCATAAATAAGTGTGCTCTGTGCAATTTACATGTTTAATATCCTGTGGATACTAAAAGCCTGTATGTTGTCAGATTTGCACGTTATTACTTCTTCAAATGATAAGCTTTTCCAAAGAAGAAACTGGAGAAGCCTGAAGCAGTATCTGAACGTTCTCTGGAAAGTCATCAAAGCTCTGCTTGCTTTACAGGAGGAGGCTCCAATTTACGTGAGAGGGCAGTTAAAATCTGGTTGAATTTCTCATATCTCTCTGCCTGATTGACTTGCGCACCTTTGCTGCCCCAGAGCAATCGCATTTGAAATTCAGTCGTGATGATTTCACTCATTTCTTCATCTGGTTGAAAACCTAATATAGACAAGACAAAACAAAATAAATTTTTTTTTTTTCAGTTCTGCCTAAATCAGTGTAGAAAACAGATGGAAAACTCGCTCATTTAAAGTAGGATCAAAATGAACTTCATCTCTCAGAACTTTTAAACAATCCCCCCAGGTAAAGCACAGGATCTGCTGTCTGTAAGGGGGCGGAGTCCCACTCTCGCAGACCTGAGCACCGGTAGAGAAAGGGTAACAGGTGAGCTCACTAAGCCACAGCAGAGGAACAGTCACGTGTACAAGCCACGGTGGGTTGTGCTGTGAGAGGGAGTGGGTCCAAGTACCTGGTCGGCTTTTACAACTTCATCGGTGTATCATGTACATGTCATGATTCACCCATTTTACCTGCACCACCATCACCACTAGTTATAGAACACTTCCGTCACCCTAGAAAGTTCCCCTGTGTTCCTGTGCAGTCAGTCTCCATTCCTACCTCAGACCCCCCACCCTCCCATCAGCATTTTGTTGCGATTGTTTTGCCTTTTCTAGAAATTTAATATAGACTTATATCACATGGACTTTTGTGTCTGGCTTCTTTTGCCTGGTGTTTCTGAGATTATTCCATGTTGTTGTGTTATCACTGACGCATTCCCTTTTATCGTTGTATTCAGTTACCTGGACATGTGACATTTTGTTTATCCGTCCACCAGCGGGTGGGCATTTGGGTTGTCTCCTGTTCTAAGTGTTATGAATAATGTTATGAACATTTATGTATATGTTTTTGTGTGGGTATGTGCTTTTCATTTCTCTAGGAGTGGAAACACTAGGGCATATGGTAAATATATGTTTACTTTTAAGAAACTCAAAGTCTTTTCTAAAATGGCTCCACCATTTTATATTCTCATCAGTAATATGAAGATTCTATTTTCTCCACAGGCTGCCAACCTTTAGTATTGTCATTCTTGCCATTCATTATCATCTCTGATGTCTATTCAAATCTTGTTTGTCTTCTCATTGAGTTCTAAGAATTCCTAATATATTCTAGATATAAGTCCTTTATAGATATAGAGAGGGGCAAAAATGAGTTTACAGTTGTGAGTATACAAAACAGTTTATTCTTGTATTTATTATTATTTTCCATATACACAACTATAAACCTCCTTTTGTCGCGTCCTTTATGTTTGTCAAATATTCTTTTCTAATCTGTGCAGTGCTGTTTCACTTTGTTACTAGTGTTTTTAAAGAGCAAAATTTTAAATTTTGATTTATCAGTGTTTTCTGTTATGGTTCATGCTTTTTGTATCCTAAAAAAATCTTTGCCTAACCTAAGGTCACAATGAATTTCTCCTGTTTTTTTTTTTTTTTTTAATATACTTTAAAAAATATTTTTAAATTGAGTTTAGAGAGGAAGGGAGAAGGAGGAAGAGATAGAAACATTAATGATGAGAGAAAATCATTGATTGGCTGCCTCCTGCACATCCCTACTGGTGATTGAGCCTGCAATCTGGGCATGTGCCCTGACAGAGAATGGAATCATCATCCCCTTGGTTCGTAAGTCCACAGTCAACCACTGAGACACACTGCCAAGACTCCTGTGGGTTCTTATAGGAGCTTTCCAGTTACTTTTACTTTACTCATATTTTGGTTCTATGATCATTTTTTAATTAATTATTATGTATGGGATGAGGTAAAGATTTTTTTTTTTTTTGCATATAATAATAGTTCCAGCACCATTTGCGGAAAGACTATATTTTATCCAATGAATTACTTGACACTTTTGTCAAAAATCAAATGGCAGGCTGGCGGCTGGCTCAGTTGGTGGAGCATCACTTGGCACACCAGGAAAGGGTATGGGTTCGTTTTCCAATCAGGGCACACACCTAGGTTAGATTCCCCGTCAGGCGTGTGCGGGAAGCAACTGATTGTTGTTTCACTCTCACAGTGGTGTTCCTTTCTCTAAAAAGTCAATAAACACAACCCTAGCTGGTTTGGCTCAGGACTAAAGAGTGTTCGCCTGAGGACTTAAGGGTCCTGGGTTCGATTCCAGGCAAGGGCACATGCCTGGGTTGTGGGTTTGACCCCCAGTGGGGGTGTGCAGGAGGCAGTTGATCAATGATTCTCATCATTGATGTATCATCTCTCTCTCTTCTCCCTTCCTCTCTAAAATTAATAAAAATATATATTTTTAAAAATCAGTAAAGACATCCTTGGGCAAGGATAAATTTTTTAAAAATCAATTGACTAAAAAAAGATTGAAAAAAAAGACAGTGGACAACTATATGTGTAAGCCTATTTTTCAACTCTCCTCTCCTCTAAAAGAGAATTATCTGGTCTACTTAAGGCCAAGAATGCTCAGTCAACTCTTGGAGAGGGGAAATCTCTAGCCAAAGAGTCACACAAGCATGTGGTTCTCATCCTTATTTTTCTTTTGAGAGAGAAATGTTGATGCAAGCAAAATATTGATTGGCTACCTCCTGCATGCCCCGACCTGGGATTGAGCCCGAAACCTGGGCATGTGCCCTGACAAGAATCGAACCAGGGACGTTTTGGTGGATGGGAGGACACCAAATCAACAGCCCCACTGGCCTGGGCCCTCATCCTCCATTATTGCTGGAGTACTGTGCTCTGTCATTAAACATATTCCCACCATCTAGATCAGAGGATCTTGGTGGGTGAGAGGATAATAGATAAATTTCAGTCCATCTTTCCCTGTGATGCCAGAATATCTTTGACAGATAACCAACCAGAGGCCAGATGACAACTTCATTCATTCAGTTAATATGCTGTGAGCCCCTACCCTGGGCTGGGTGCCAGGGATATGACGGTGAGCAAATATCTACCCTTAGGGGGTTCACGGAGAGGCCCAGCAATGGGAACTTGCTCTGTAAACCTGTAGCAGGATCAACCGAGAAATACTATCTGATACCTTTAAAGTAATTTGCTATAAAACAACTTAAAGCACACTTTTGGCTTAGGCACCATCCAATGTAATACATTTATTGGCTTTACATAAGCAGGCACTGTACTATCTGGTGAATTACGTGCTTTTATTATTTAAGTTCTACACTGCTAACCTTGGAGAACATTCTGAGGAAAAAAAATGAAACAGGTATATAATGCTTACACCTATATCAGGCACAATGCAAACTATTTAATCTCTGATTCTGCGGCGACAGCATTGTTTTACAGTTAAATAATAAGCCTCTGTCACCCTGCTAAGTTCTTAACCTTGTGGATCAAACTGTTGGCTCTTGAAGAAATTAAAAAATTAGGGAGGATGAGAAGAGAGTCGACCCTGATAACTGCCTCAATCAAGTCCTTGTTCTTGCATTTGCTTCCTAAATGGTCTTTTTGCCTATAAGCTTTCAGCCCTCCCCTCCCCTCCACGTAGAGGCCAGATTTGAGGCACCAACGTGACCACATGATGGCGCCTCCCACCTTTCCCTCCCACTTCCTTCTTCAGCCCGGTTGGCCATTCCTGAAGACACACTTTACACTAACCCACACCCACGTACTTGTGTTTTGTACTTTCCCCCAAGCTCTTCTAGTGCCTTTGCTTGTGTTGGACCCTTCCATGCTAAGAGCAGGGAGCTCCGTTCCCAGCGTGACTGAGAAGAAATAGGCACGCAGATAAGTGAAGTCAAATAAAACTCTGACTCCTTAGGTTGGCCCGTCATGTTTTCTAATGGTAATTATTAGAGATAGGCGAGCTGCCCAATGCTTTCTTGACCTTTTCTCTCTTTATTCTATGCCAATGACTCAACAGAATACAAAGAAGAGAGAAGCAGGGCCCTTAAGTCATTTGGGAATTAAGAGGAAGTAATGACCAGTCATGGAGGAAACAGAATTCCCATGCCTCAATCTTTCCTACTTGAGAACACCCATGTTCTTTTATTCCTTCATTCCAATGACCATTCCGAGTGGACAGCAGCTTATGAAAAGCAGCCCTTACCTTCCAGGATCCTCTCGGCATTCACCCGGTAACTGTGTGCAGCCTCTGCCATGCGTCGAGCTGTTGTCAAGTGGTTCATCATAATCTCACAGCTTTCGTTAGTCTTTTCCCACGTGTCAATTCCTTCAAAAATGACAGCCTGTCGTTCCATTAAAGTCACAAGAGGCATCAGCAGGGGGACTGATATATTGTTTGGGAGGACACACGTGGACTCTGAAAAACAAGGGGAACATTTTTGTCCAGATCATTTCCTTCTCCCGAAGTTAAGATGGTGAGGTAGGAGAATCCTAGTCCCACCTCCTCCCTGCACACATTAAATCTGCAGCTAAATATGGAACAACTTCCTCTGGAAAAAGGAACTCCTACAAATCAGGCCAATGAGAGAGGCCCACGTGGAAGCATGGAGGAGAGGCTGGGACACAGTCTTATCATAAACCCCAGACCCGGCGCAGCGACCCGCAGTCGAGAGGGAGGGAACTCACAACCCAGAGCTTCTCCCTGAGGAGCCAGGGGCTTGAACCCCACATTGGGCACCCCGACTTCTGAGACCTGTGCTGAGAGTCAAGTCTTCCAAAGTTCTAGCTTTAAAAACCAATGGAGCTCAAGTCCATGAGACCTACAAGACTATAATGATCTGAGAAATAGCTCTTAGAGAGCTCACATGCTCTGAGTCACCTGCCCCGTGCTCAGCAAGAGGGCTGTCAGGTAATTTAGCGGACAGGCACCATCTTCATACTCTGCCTTACTCTAGCCAGTGGGTGCCTCTATTTTTAAAATACTAGGCTCCTCCTCCTGTTTCTTCTCTCTTTTTCTTTTAGTCTTCACCCAAGGATTTTTTTTTATTTTTTATTATTGATTTGAGAAGACAGCTATTGATTGTCTCCCTTACATACCCTGACACCCTGGGTATGTACCCTGTCCAGGAATTGAACCACCACCTTGGTGTATGAGAAGATGCTCTGACCAACTGAGCCACACTGGCCAGGGCTTTTCATTTTTCTGTGGGAGCCATCTATAAGCTCCTCTGCAGCTTTGCTCCGCTCACTGGTCTCTCTCAGAAAGGAGCCCACATCCTTGTCTGGCACCCAACGTTCACGGCGGCTGCCAGGGGACACCTCTGCACTGCCAGGCGCTGGTGGCCAGTAGGACTTGTGCCCAGGGGTGCCACAGGACTAACCGATGGAGAAAGAGTTCTTAAACAGCTACTGCCCCAGAGCACAGCAAGAGGCACAGCTCTGTGGCCTCAGAGCTTATGATCATAACTGAGAGGCAGGTTTCTAATTAAAGACACGTCTGAGGGTTGATTGTAATCCTTTGCAGAGACCTCAAGGGGGAGGTGGGGGCACTGCTTGGTGCTCTCCCAGAGGAGAGCTTTTACATGGAGCTGGTGCCCCGGTTTTTGCAGCCGCCACCCAAGGGCTTCGCCCTGGTCACGTGACTCAGAGGAAGTTGTGTTCTTGGGACCCATTGGATCGTAATAATTGGAGAGAGAGTGCTGGGCAGGCTTCCCCTTCCCCGCCCAGAGAAGACTGGAAAACAGCCCCGTCTTTCTGTGAAAGAGGCCAGTTTGCTTGTCCTGGAGCTCCCCGCTGAGGGGTAGGTTTTGGGGATGGCACATGTCTAGGAGGTGTTCTCCGGGAACACAGGCTGGTGGGTAATACCTTTGCACTCTTTGGTATGTCCATACGACCCAAAGCAAACCACAGATTCAATGCAATCCTTATTATAAAATTCCTATTTTTCACAGCAATAAAACAACCACTCCTAAATTTTGTATGGAACCAGAAAAGGCACCAAAAAGCAAAAGCAATCTTCAGAAAGGACAAAGGGGAAGCATCATGCTCCCTGATTTTAAACTACATTACAAAACGACAGTAAGGAAAAACAGTATGGTACTGGCATAAAAAAAGAAAAACCCCCACCACAGACACATAGAGAATGGAATAGAAAGAGAAAGTAGAAATAAACTTGCACATAGATGGTCAATTAATTTACAGCCAAGGAGCCAATATTCATACAATGGGGAAAGGACAGTCTTCAATAGATGGTTCTGGGAAAACTGGACAGCCACATGCCAAAGAATGAAACTTGACCACTATCTCACTCCATACAGAAATTAATTCAAAATGGACTAAAGACTACAGGTAAGACCTAAGACTATAAAACTCTTAGAAGAACACACAGGTGGTAAGCTTGACATTGGGCTTGGTGATGTGTTTTTGAATCTGACACCAAAAACAAAGGCAACAAAAGCAAAACTAAACAAGTGAGACGACATCAAACTAAAAATTCTGCTCAGCAAAGGAGACCAACAAAGAGAAAAGTCAGCCTACAGAATGAGAGGAAATATCTGCAAATCCTATATCTGATAAGGGATTAATATCCAAAATACTATATAAAGGACTTACAGAACTCAATAGCAAAAAGACAAAAACAAAAACACCAATCTGATTTAAAAAATAGGCAGAGGACCTGACTGAATTTTTTTTTTTTTTTTTTAAAGATACAGATGATCAAGGAATACACGCTGGGAAAGAATGCTCTCCTCCAGTCGGGACAACATGAATCCTGCAGGTCACTCCGGGGCTCAGAGCATGCCCTGCTCAGTGCTTTGACCAAACCAGAGCAGACACAACCTGTGGTCCTATCGGCGCCGATGGGGCAGCTCAGCCGACCCTGCGCTCACCTCGGCCCTCGTGCAGAGCTTTGCTGAATGGCTTCAGCTGCTTCTCGTAGAGGATGGCGGTTTGGGTGTGCTGGCGCCGCAGGGCAGTCCACGTTTCTTCCAGCCTTGTAATCTGAAAGGAAGACAGATGTTGCTATTTTGTAAAAGGTCCTTTTTTAAAATGACTTTAAAAATTTTTTAAATATGTTTTTATTGATTTTAGAGAAGCGGGGAGGGGGAGAGAAACATCAATCTGCTGCCTCCTACACACCCCCTATGGGGATTGTGCCCGTAACCCCGGCAGGTGCCCTGACTGGGAAGCAAACCAGCAACCCTCTGGTGCATAGGATTATACTCAACCAACTCAGCTACACCGGCCAGGGCTACAGTGACCTTCTTGCTTAAATTTTTAGAATAGATGATAGATGCACATGTTAAAAAAGTCAAAGCAGTTGGAAGGAGTGTACAGAGAAAAGTTAATCCCCCACCTATGTCTTTTTCTGCATTGCTCTGAAGGCCCATCCCAGGGACTAGTCCTCTCATCAATTTCCTGTATGGGTATGTATGTCTGTGTGAACACACACACTCCACTTGCAAATAAATAAATGCATGTCATACAACACATTTTTTGTTCCTTATTTGGAAACCTCTCCTATAAATACATTAAAAAAAAACAAAAAAAACCCAGCATAGAACCGCCTTATTTTTTGTTCAGCTTCTGTATTATGTTCCACTTGCAGGATACACTACATTTTAACCAGCCTCCAGCTTTCAATGACAAAATTCCCTCGTGAAGATTTTGCAAACGTGTCACCTGTGTGACAATAGGTGGAGGAGAAACGTCCAGAAGTGGAACTACCGCGCCAAGGAGTGCCTGCGTGGTAAAGGCGGAAAGGAGCTGCCAGCCGTCTCCCCCGGAGGAGACGCACCGAGCAGACGCTGTCGGGATGCGGGGCCGGCAGTTCCCGGGACTCTTAAGTAGTCACGTCTGAGACACGGGGGACTGCCCAGGCCACGTGCTGCCACGTCTCATTCCTTCACGCCGACACGAGCTCCTGACTCTGGCCGCCCTCAGACAGACGGTCCCCCACGCACCGTGACACCGCAGGCCTCAGTGTCTGAGTTCTACATGAAGCCAAGCGGGGAGGAAGGGCGCTAAGATCTAGGGAACCAGCGCCAACTCAGACAGCTGAGGAATTTCATCTAGTCCTTGCAATACCCTGTGAAGCAGGTATTTAGGCCTCAGGTTACAGACAGAAACCAGCAGCGATGGGAGCTCCGTGCCTGCTTGAGGTAGCACAGCTGGTCAGGGACAGAGCGGAGCTGCAATTCACCGGCCTCTCGGAGCGCCTGTGTGTTCCAAGTGAGAGGGGAGCAGGGACCACACCAGCGGATTTTCTGGGAAGGAAAGGATGTGGGCCGGCCACCCACCGCGCTGCCCTCTCCCCCACGTCCTGCTCCTCCTCAGCCTCCAGCTTCTCCTTTCTGAAAGAGCCCTCTGCCGGAGGCTCCCCGGGTATGAGACGCCGGGAGAGAAAGCGACGGCAGGTTTGGTGGTGAGACACAGACGTGATGTGATTCCTCTGGGGTTTCCGCCGGGTCTGCCACTTCCCTCCCCAAACAGGCCGCCTCACGGGGCCCTGAGCTCCCCGGGGGCTGTCCCCTCGGCGCTGAGGCGCCCAGACAGGGAGGGCGCCGCCTGCAGAGTCCTGGTAACTGCGTGGGGTAAGTCCCTGACCGCGGGGTTTGATGTCAGGAACAGCAGCCATGAAGTGCCACAACGCACCCCCTCCCCCCCTCTCCGGGGGAGCTCTGGGCTGGGGGGCGGCTCACACAGCCCAGCGTGTTGGCCCGGCTCTCAAAGTCGTACACAGGTTCGGATAGAGGGGAAATAAATCTCATGCCAACTGAGGGCACCTGAATGAAAAACCAGAACTCCCGATGCTGCGGAGGCCAGGGTATCGTGAAAATACGGCTGAGCCTGCCTAGTCCCAGCATCAGCCCCACCCAGTCCCAGGGCACCTAAAGTAAGGTGACCAGACGTCCCGCTTTTGGCAGGACAAACTGTTAAAAATCGGGACGTCTGGTCACCTTAACCTAAGGATGTCTGTACACTCAGGGAATGTTACATTCTAACTGGGGCTGACACCCGCTCCCCAACGTTCCTGACGAAAGAACCAAGTTGTTATACTTCTTGTTTCTAAGGTGACCTTGCTTTCAAGCGGGAAATCGTGTTCCTAACAAGCCCCCACAGGGCACGTGTCCCGTAGCTGCCCTCCCAGGGGCGACGCTGGGTTTGAGGGCCCGGGGGGTCCAGGGCAATCGGACTCTGAACAGCCATGCCGGAGGGTGAGCGTTTTGGGGTTCCTGTTGCAGACGGGGCTCACAGGGCTGCAGAGGGGTCCCCTACGCGCCGAGGGCCGGGAGCACAGCCGGGAGGCGGGACCACAGGACCGTGCTCCTCTGTGTGGGCCGCTGGATTTCAAACACACGTTTTCCTTGGACACTCATCCTAAAAGCAGCCCGTCAAAGCAGATACATTCAAAGCGCCGGAATCCAGAGCCTCTAACTAGGGGGCTATCTGGCAGATGGTCCAGAAATTTGGAGTTTTTAGTAAGAGAGGCGAGGCTGTTTTAGGCAACCTGAGGAACATTCTAGGACAGTGGTCGGCAAACTGCGGCCCAAGAGCCACATGCGGCTCTTTGGCCCCTTGCGTGTGGCTCTTCCACAAAATACCATGGGTCTATTTTGAAGAAGTGGTGTTGGAAGAAGTTCACGTTTAAAAAACGTGGCTCTCAAAAGAGATTTCAATCGTTGTGCTGTTGATACTTGGCTCTGTTGACTAATGAGTTTGCGGACCACTGCTCTGGAAGATGAAGCTCTCTAGGGATCCTCGGATGTAAGCTCCCCATGGCTGTTTTCTGTCATTGTCCCAAACGGCCCGCACACATGGTGACTCAGGGGGTGCAGTCTCCCCCTTCCCCGGCACACCTGCAGGGACCTGATCTTGAGGGTGACTCTTCTTATAGTACATCAGAGAGAAAGGGCGGGCTCTCGGCCATTACCCAGTTTTTAAAAGCAGCCAAAATGCTTAGGACCCTATTCTTGGTTGGCCCCCGATCAAAGCAGCTTTCATTACGAAGCTGCTTACCTCTTGAGACTGGCTGACGCCCTCTCGGATGTGCTGAGTGTGGGCTCGCGAACAGAAAGCACACACAGGTCCGGGGGCTGTGCAAAGCGAGGGGAGACGTACCTGTGGCATCTCCAGGGCTTTCATGATGGCTGAGAACGCGTACAGGTCCCCCATGGAGTCCTTCAGCTCCACCGCCACCTGGATGACCCGATTGAGGGTGGCCGCTCGGTCCTCCAGCGTGCCCGTGCAGCCCAGGACGTCCACGGCGATGCCGATGGCCATGGTGCTGTGTCTGCGGGGGAGGAGGTCAGCGGTGAGCCCCAGGGTCAACAGGACGAGGAGGAAATGAAACCAAACCAGCTAGGAAACAGACTGGCTTCGCACCAGGTGCTGCTCGTGCTGCTGAGGTGAGCCGGTGGCTCGGAGAGTTTGGCTGTGGTTTCCCCGGAGGCCACCCCACAGGCTGCAGCGGGACCACACAGGCCTCCGAGGGCACTACGCAGAGGCCAGAGGACAGGTCCTGGCTGGATCTGGGGCGTGAAGAGGGCCCGCCTCAGGCGAAGTGCACGGGCTCCTGGTACCTTCCGCCATGAGAGACCCAAGGAGACACCAGGTCCCCACAACACACCAGGGACTCCCCGCTCAGGGAAGCTTGGGGTCATTTCCACCAAGCCTGCCCCTTCTTCCCCCCCCCCCCCCCATGTGGGAAATGGAAAGGACAGAAAAATGAGATAGCACGCTTGATCCAGGATGATGACAAGAGTGTCAGAACAAAGGAAGGAACGAGGGGCTAAGAATAGAGTGTCTGAGGCTCTGATCAAGAGGCCAGAACATGAGTGGAGATGTGGAGGAAGACAGAACAGCGGACTGGCAGGATGTCCCCGTTAGGTCGGGCTCTGAGAAAATGGAAATCTTGTTTGTATCTTCCAACAATGCAACTCTATAGGCTGACCTTACAGACCCAGGACAGGAAGCAGCGAGATTTTTCTCTACATGACAATGGGGCTCACACAGAGTCTCCATGGGGCCGGTAAGGGGTCACACAGAGTCTCTGTAGGCAGATGAGGGGTCACCGAGAGTCTCCATGGGCTGATGTGATGATGGGCACAGTCTCTATGGGGCTGATGTGATGGGTCATAGAGTCTCCAATGGCTGATGAGGGGTCACACAGCCTCCTATTGGTGGCGGCAGCACAGACTGAAGTCCCTTTCCTTCCCTCTGAAAATCAGAATTGTGGAGTTGACTGCACTGGGCCAGAATGGCCTCCATCACATTTCCTCCAGGCTGATACCAGTGCTGGAGGTGAAGCCCCAGTTCATAGCACGGTTACTAAGATACACATGTTTGAAAGTTGGGGGCTACCTTGTCCTGAGAGCTCACAGCTGAGGATGCGACTCCAAGGCCATGCTGCTGTCTTGTGCCCACCAGTGTGGGGCCCTCTTGCTCTCCTTGGGCAAAGGGTGGCATGATTCACCTCGGGCCTAGCATTACTACCCTTGTTGGCCAAAGTCTCACCTAGGAAAATGTCTTAGAAGATTTATTTGAGCCAAACTGATGGCAACGGCTAGGAATCGAAATTTCAATGGATTGAGAACATGCTCCAGAGAATGGACAGTTTTGCAGCTTACTGTATACGTTAGACTCAAAGGAGGAGGTGTAAGAGGGGTCACATGAGATCCACTGGTGGTAGATTAGGGCGGCAGGAGAAGGCAAAGCTGGGCTATCACCGGGATGAGATAAAAAGCAAGACTGAGAGGCACACGCTTCTCTTCCATGGGTGGGTGTGAGAGAGCTGACATTTACAGCACAGAGAGATGGTATGTGGGCAGCGAGATAACAATGTGTCTCCTGCTCTGGTGCCTCTGAGGGGTCGGGAAAAGAAAATTACTCTGACATTTCAAAGGTATGTTATCTTAGATGCACAGCGATAAAGGCTTCCAAGGTAACCGCTGACCTTTGTCAAGGAAGCTACGGGCTTAGGATGTGACTACCCACTCTGACCCGCTTTTAGTTGGGAATGTTTATGGTCAGACCATCCTGTGTGGCTCCTTTAGGTCTCTGGGTGTGTAAGGCCGCCACTGAGCTCATCCTTCTCCCCACTCCTTTTCGTCCACACGCTCATGTTTGTTATATAAGTAATGAGCCCGCCCTAGCCAGTTTGGCTCAGTGGACAAAGTGCTGGCCAGCGGACTGGAGAGTCCCAGGTTTGATTCTGGTCAAGGGCATGTTCCTCGGCTTATAGCCTTGGTCCTGGGCATCCCGTGCAGGAGGTCACACAATTGATGTGTCTTTCTCACATCAATGTTTCTCTCTCTTTTTCCCCCTCCTTTCCACGCTCTCTAAAAATCAATGGAAAAATATCCCTGAGTGAGGATTAACAAAAAATAAAAATAAATGAAAAGTAAGTAACGAGCTCTGCCGTCTCTGTGTTGTACATACTCAGGGTGGGGCACAAGTAGGCACGCAGTTGTGAGTATGTGAAACCGAGTTTTGGCTGTGTCATATATTAATTATTGTATTATTTTCCATAGAACAATTGGAAAGCTCCTTTTGCCCACCCTGTAGGCACGTGTGCTGCTTACTCGCAGTGTGGCCTAAGGTGTTATCTGACTGCTCCATGCCTTGATTTCTTCATCTGTAAAATGGGGACAAGAGCAATTGCGAGAAATAGAGACTGTATGTAGGTATAAAAATAATCCAAGCACGTGGCACTGGCAGGCACCAGGCAAACAGTACTTGTTCTCTATGGTACATCTTTCCCTCTGTGTCTTGGTCCATTTTTGCCTGACACTTTTGCTTTATTTATCTCCCTCCTGGTTTCTTGTCTTTCTTAATTAATGGATCCTAACATAGAACTAAAGACTATTTTTATCATCTGTTGTTTATTGAAGAGTATTGTTACCATTTGCAAAAAGTTAAGGTGGAGCCAAACATCTTAGATGTTTCTTTTAACAAATAGTAAACTAATGTTTCATGTTGCATTTAGTCTATTTTTTATTCAGTGTCTCCCCCCCCGCCCCACCGCCCCATGCTTTAATAGCCCTTAATAAAAGACATATTTTCTACTTCTTTGAGACCGGGCATTACACCAATGGTTAACTGGCTAACTCTATCCCTAGCCATTCATTCAACCAGCATTTGCCTTCGGGCACCGCTCTGGGAAAAACACCCGCCTGGAGCATCTGCTCCCAGGGCCACAGGGGCTGGCAGCAGGGGCACTGACTGCTATACGAAGGGCATGCCCACGCAGGAGGCCTGGAATGGGCCAAGTGGCAAATTAAGAAATAAAGAGTGGATTCGTATTGGATTCTGAAACGCAGGAAGATAATGTAATTTGGCCTTCCAGGGCCACTATACCTTTGACCTTTATTTAAACACATGGTAATGAAGAAACCGGCTCCCCAGACCCACAGGCTAGCCCTGAGCAGGAAACAGGCAGGAAGTGGGAGCAGAGGCCAGCGACAACCAGGAGAAAGAGGAAATGGATGCAGACAAGAGTGGAAGTCTGAAACTAGCCAAAGGAGAAGCCCCAGGCCAGCCGACCTCAGCCTGGGCACCACATCCAACACACCTGAGGAGACCGATCAAAGGAGGCCGGAGCATGGGGAGTTTTCAGACTGAAAAATGTGCCACGTGAGAAAGGGGGAAGTTGGTGGCACCGCTCAGTTCTGTTGAAGCCGTGACCACTGAGCCTCGACGGCAACAGAGAAGTTAGTGGACCTGAGACGCCAGGCCCTGGACTGGGGGAGGGAAGAGAACATGCGGAGAGAGAGGCTGGAATCTGGAAAAATCTGATCCGAAAAGTAAAAAAATTCAGAAGTCAGACCTACAAGTGTCCAAAGGCAGTGGTCTGCAAACTGCAGCTCTCGAGCCACATGCGGCTCTTTGGCCCCTTGCGTGTGGCTCGTCCATAAGATACCAAGGCCTGGGCGAGTCTATTTTGAAGAAGTGGCATTAGAACAAGTTTAAGTTTAAAAAATTGGCTCTCCAAAGAAATTTCAACCGTTGTACTGTTGATATTTGGCTCTGATGACTAATGAGTTTGCCGACCACTGCCCAAAGGCATTCGACAACAAGGATGCCTGAACAAAGTCAGCGTTTCTGGCTCCTGTCTCTCAGAAGCCTCTCATTCGGGTTCTGGCGTCTACAGTGGATGCATCTGTGGCTGTGAAGCCACAACAGCGGCATGGAGCCTTCTTGTCTGCTGGGCAGTAGGCACCCCTGAAGGCAGTGGTGTGTGGACCCCGGCCACCTGAAGGCGGTGCTTCCTTTCTCGAGCTGACATCCTCAGGCCACACTGCCCACTGGCCACGTGTGGCTACTGACACGTAGAACACTGAACAGCGGAATAAAACGTCTTGTCCCTCCACACGTGGCTGCCACACGGAGACAAGAAGGTCAGCCATCACAAAAGAGCCTGGGCCGGGGCTGCTGGCCTCAGGGCCTGGCTGACCATGACAACCCACATGTGCGCAGTGCCAATGGGAAATGGGTTGGGAAGACAGAAAGTTTAACAAGGTAGTCTTGCCCAAATCAACTGTTGTTTTGTGTGTCAGGAAGACCAACTTCTACTCGAATACGGCAATCAAGGCTAGTGCTTCTTTCCTTAAAAACATGCCTTGCCATTTCTGTCGTTCTAATTTCTAAACATCCGACGCGCATGTGTGTGGGTTTACAGGGACAGCCAGGGCCCGGCTCTTCATGAGGAGAAGACAGTGATTCTTTAGGGGCCGGAGGGGAGAGGGTCCGTGTGCCCTCACCCTCCGACCTCTGATCCCCCGTCTGTCCACCCGTCAAAGAAAACGTTCAGCTCCGGTCTTCCCAGCCTTTCCCCAAACTCCCACTTAATTCCGAAAGCAGTCTGGAGCCGACGGGAGCGTGTTCTTTGTTCCCTGGCTTCCTCTTTGCACGTCTCCAGGAATTCTCTGGCTGAGCTTCTGGGGAAAGTTGGCCCGGGCCTCCCCTTCCCCTGAGGGAAGCGTCTCGGGCGTCAGTGCTGGGCCCCTCTCTGCTCTGGAGAGAGACAGGAGGACGGAGAGGGCCGGGAATGCAGGGGACAGCGCTGCTCACCTCTCGATGATGTCCAGACGCAGCTGGTGGCCGTACGGCAGGGTGATGAGCTCCAGCCCTGAGCTCACGCCCATGTTCTTCCGCATCTCCTCCGAGACTTCAAGAATCCTAGCGACCTGCAGAGAACACAGTTGAAATACACGCCATCAGGAAGCGGGCTTGCTGCGAACACGGAGTTCATGTGAAAGGAAATACACTGAGCTGGACAAGGTGTGGAGGCGCTGAACTTGTTGCAACTTTGAGCAACAGCCTCTGAAAAGTCAGTTTTAAACGAGATATTTGGGGGATTTTAAAACACAAATAAATAGTATCCTACCTTATAAAAGAGTACTATGCAAATGAACAATCACTCCGCTCAAGCCACGCCTACTTGTTATGCCTACCAGCCAAACAGAGCGAGCATGCAAATTAACCCCAACCAAGATGGCTGCAGCCACAGAGAGCAGTTGAGAGGCTTAGGTTTCCCCGGCAACAGAAGCCAAGCTTTCCGCCTGCCCTAGCTTAGGTCTCCACTCAAGGCTACAAAGTTTCAATTATAGAAGGTAAATTCCAGATACCAAGACCTCAGCTTGGGTTGTCAGGGGTGTGGTTGGCCTGCAAACCACCACAGGCTCCTCGCCCAAGCCACCCCATGCCCCAAGGGAACCCCCACCCTGATCCGGGACACCCTTCAGGGCAAACCAGCTGGTCCCCACCCATGCACCAGGCCTCTATCCTATCTAATAAAAGAGTAATATGCAGACTGACCATCACTCCAACACACAAGATGGCTGCCCTATGTGGTCAAAGATCCTGTCCCCATGTGGACACAAGATGGCCACCACAAGATGGCCTGCAAGGGAGGGCAGTTGGGAGGGACCAGATCTGCAAGGGAGGGCAGTTGGAGGCAATCAACCCTGTAGGGGAGGGCAGTTAGGGTTGGCCAGGCCAGCAGAGGAGGGAAGTTGGGGGCAAACAGGCTGTCAGGGGAGCAGTTAGACATCAATCAAGCTAGCATGAGAGTGGTTAGGGGGTGATCAGGCTGGCAGGCAGAAGTGGTTAGGGGCAATCAGGCAGATGAGCAGTTGGGAGCCAGCAGTCCTGGATTGTGAGAGAGATGTCCAACTGCCCGTTTAGTCCCAATCCTGGTGGGATCAGGCCTAAATGGGCAGTTGGACATCCCTCGAGGAGTCCCAGATTGGAGAGGGTGCAGGCTGGGCTGAGGGATACACACACACACACACACAATTTCGTGCACTGGGCCTCTAGTACTGTAATATAAAGCCTGGGAGGAAACAACCAAAATTGTTCTGCAAATTTGGTGTTTCTGGCCTGCGGTGCGGGAGCACAGAGCTGCTCCTCTGGCTTTTGGGTAAGCCAGGCTGGTCCCGCAGCGGCCCTCTCCGCATGCGTGGCCATTCGTGTTCTCACTTAAGGGCAGGCTGGCTGCTATTACCCCTCATTACGCCTCTCCGGGCTCCGTCAATGCATCACACGTCTGGAGACCATTAGACAAGTGTGCAGAGATCAGAAACCCGAGGCCTCCCCCAGAGGGCTCTTCCTCCAAGAAAATCTGCGTGTTTGTCCAGCCAGCAGCCCCCTTCTCAGTCCCAGTGTGCAATCACACTCATCAGGACCAGGCATCGGCTGGCCCACTGTAGTTACTACATGTCACCTCGAAAGGTCGCGATGGAGCAGCGCCTCTCTAAAATGGGGACAGTGACGCAGCGGCACCCTGACGCGAACAGCGGTCTCGCCACGCCTGGACACACGGCCAGCGCGGGGCCATTCCTCCCTCGCTCTGTGGAGCCGTCCTCCAGCGCAATGATCCTGGGCCCATGAACCGTCCAGATGGCTTCGCAATAGGCTCCAAAGCACATCTGGAAGTTTGGCTGTTATGATTAACCCTGACCCTTAACCTCTGTGGCTGAGCCAGGATCCGCGGTCAGCCCTGGGAAACCAGCCTGTGGGAACCGGCTGTCCAGCAGTGGGCCCCAGAATAGGATGCAGGATTCGTACCCTGCTCCCCAAGCCTCAGTTTCCCCTTCTCTAACAGAACCCTAAGGTCACCTTTCTCACGGACTTTTGCAAAGGCTCCACTGAGCTGAAACTGTTTGGCTCCAAAGAACTGTTTGAAAATACAGGGTGTGAGTCATCGGCCACGTAGGAGGGGGACAGATTCTGGCTCGGTCTCCGGAAAGAGATTTACACCTTGACCACAGCAAGGCGGCCCAGATGTGCAGGCCAGACACCTGCGGTCACACACACTCCGCTGGCTTAGACAGCTGCCCGGTCGGAGGCTCCAAACCCAGCACATCTGTGGAGCGTCCTCCAATCCACGCGCTCTGTGGAGCGAGATTCAGGGGCTGGTCCTGGATCCGGTTTTGTTCTGGAAGCACCAGCATCCGGGGCGATCCCTGCTCTGACAGGGAAGGCTCTGGTCTGTTTTACTTCCACGTAAACCTTCAAATCCCTGGTCACCTTCCCTGGATTGGATCAGAAAATGCCTCTACCCACTTGCCCTGTGGCTGAGCTATGGGACAAGGGGTCCTGGCACTCACAGTGCAGGGTCTGGGTCAGGAAACACCAGGGCTGTGCAGATGCAGGTGCAGACACAGAGACACAGACACAGACACAGGCACAGGCACAGGCACAGGCACAGGCTCAGGCTCAGGCACAGACACAGGCACAGACACAGGCACAGGCACAGGCACAGGCACAGACAGAGACACAGACACAGACACAGACACAGGCACAGGCACAGGCACAGGCACAGGCACAGACAGAGACACAGGCACAGGCACAGGCTCAGGCTCAGGCTCAGGCTCAGGCACAGGCACCGACACAGGCACAGACACAGACACAGACACAGGCACAGGCACAGACAGAGGCACAGGCACAGGCACAGACACAGACACAGAGGCACAGGCACAGGCACAGACACAGACAGAGACACAGACACAGACACAGGCTCAGGCACAGGCTCAGGCACAGGCACAGACACAGGCACAGGCAGAGAGGAGGGACCAACAGTCTTTACTATGAGCTGGACCCGGCAGGGACCATCAGAGCCCCATGGCGAGGTGTCCCAGCCTCCCTCTGCTCTTCAGATCCGAGCCCCTGGTTCTCTGAACGCTGCCTGTTCCTCCTGCTCCTGCTCCTCCTGCTCCGGCTGCTGGAGCTGCTGCAGGACCCGGGCGCCCGGTGGGGCATGCCTGGCCCTCCGCCCAGCCTCCTCGGGGCCATCGGAGCTGCAGTGCGAGCACCGGCTCAGCTCACCATCAGAGGAATACCAGCGGGCACTGTGTCCTCGCAGGCCTGTCGCCCTCACTTCGCTGAGGAAGATAGCAGCCTGGCGAGCAGAGACTTCAAAACATGGAAGACCTGCCAGGACTCCCCCACCCCACGACCTTCACTGCCCACAGAGCGTGTGTTCCTGACGTCGGAGTTTCTGCACGTGTGTGTCGCCTGCCGCCTGGAAGGTGCTATTTGTATTCTTCATCCGGCCAACTCCTATTCAGCCTTCAAAACTCATCTCAGACATCCACCTGGCCCCCGCGCTGCCCCAGGCTCAGGACCGGCCTCAGGGGCCCCACGGCTCCTGTGCCTTCCCCTGCAGAGCACTTCCCGCCTGCACTGTGGTCTGAATTCCTGTATCCCTGTCCCTCCCTCGCTCCCACCGTGACTCTCAGTCCAAGAGAGAGAGGCACTCTATCAGTCTGAGTATGGAATACTACTCAGCATTTACTTGGCCTCATCCTGGCCAGGCATGGTATGGAGGGTAGTTGGTTTTATTCTCCTCCTTTTATCGGTGGGGAGAAAAAGATCAGGAGAGGGAAAGAGGCAAGATCACATTCAGGCAGCTCATTCCCCAGAGGCCACGCTCTTAACCCCTGTCCCTCACTTCCAGCCACTGCAAAGACAAGTGGGTGGGAGAATGGCTCCGGGTGAGTGAGGTCAGGGCGGTCAGTGCCCATCTGCAGGTGTGTGGGGTGGGGTGTCTCAGTGGATGCCCACCCCAACCCAGGGAGTGGGGTGCAACATTGCTGGGCAGGCCGCCTTGGGGTGCTCAGGACCACCTACTGTCCCGATGGCCTTTCTGGTGTCAGCCTGGGCGGTGTGCACTGGTGGGGACCGGCTCTCAGGGCTCAGTGCTGCCCAGCACGCTCTGAGCTTTGGGGTGGCCTGCATGGCTGCCGCTGCACTCGGGGTGGGTGGGAACAGCCCGTGTTTGTTTCCCTCGGAGTCACTGAGTGTGCCTGCTTTGTTGGCAGAGCCCTGGCCGGCGGTTCCAGGAAGAGGATAAGGAAACGACGTGGGCTCAGGAGGGAGGAAGGAACACTAAACGGCCTCGCCCTTGGGGAGCGTCAGGCAGGCTCCTGCTCCCGTCTTGGCCACGGGGGCTCGGTCTTCCAGGGGGGACTGAAGGCAGACGGGGAACGGGGCCTCCCAGGATGAATGCAGAGAGAAGCGGGACAAGAAAGAGGGTGGCTGCACGCTCCTTCTGCTGCAAACAGACACAAGGTCTAGTTTCATGGCCGCCAGCGTGGGAGAAGGTTCTAGACCCTTCTGCACCAATGCTCAGCGTCTCACCTCCCTCGTTCCCACCGAGCCCGGCTCGAGGCCACAAGGAAGAGGGTTCACTTCCTCCGGGGAACTAGGTAGTTATGTGAACCCAGACCTGTCTCTGCAAGGAGCCTGCTTTCCCGAGAACCTGGGCCGGTTCACGCGGGGCTCCTGTGCGGGTGACGTCCTGGGGCAGGCACTCCAAAGCCTCTTACTGTCCAAACAGGTTCAGCTCGCCCGACCCGGTGATTATCCGGCCATTTGTGAGCACTGCCCAGGGCCACTCGGCCAACCACGTGAACTGCCAGAGCAGCCCCCTCCTGGCTGTCCGCTCAGGGCTCCCCCCCCCCCACGTACGCGCACACACACACACACATACGCGCACACACACACCACACACACCACACACACACACACACACACACACACACACACACACTACACACACCATACCCCCCCACACACACACCACAAACACACACACCACACGCACCACACACACACACACACACACACACCACACACACACACACGTACGCGCACCCCCCCACACACACACAAACACACACACACACACACACACACACACACACCCCTCCCAGGCCTGGCATGAGGTCAGCTGAGTGATCCCTCAGCCCTGTTTTCAGGAAGGAGTTTGTTACCCCAGCATAGCCAGGCGGGAGGCTGCCTGCCAGCCACGTGAGCCCTCAATCCATTAGGAGCTCCTTGGGGGAGGAGTGCTCAGAGACCACTTCCTGCCGTGATTTATGGCCTTAATAAAAGGAAATTTATTTTGGGAAGGCCGGTTCCTAAATAAACCCTGACCTTTGAAGCTAATTGATTTCACGGAGCCTCAAACGAGATTTCAGATGCAAAGATCTGTCCCTTCCGCCGTGGAGCTGGCTGGGCCACCCGCTGGAAACACCTGCTTTCTAGAAATCTCTCCCTGAGGGAGGAGCCTGCCCTGGGCCACCTCCGAACAAAGGACGCCCAGAAAGAAAGAACGCTCCCTTTAAGAAAGGTCTGCGGTCACAGGGGAGGACAGGCACAGGGTGCTGGCGGGAGGGAGGCTCGGGGATTGGAGCCGTGTGTCTGGGCGGTGCCATTTTTGTGGTGAGCGACCAGACCTGCACGCCAGTATCTCCGTGTCTCCGCTTGCAGAGTAAATGTTAGCAAGGAGAGCCCCAGGAAACGGGATTCTGTGTGATTTTCATCTTTCCTCTTCATCTGCATTTTTATCATTTTTTTCTAAATTGAGCAAGTATTACTTATTTTTTAAAAATCAAGGTAACTTCAAAATGTTGATTACCCCAATAACCATTTAGTAACAATAAATATATAATGTGAATAAAAATAACCAAGCTCTGCTCCTCCGGAAACTACATTTTGATCCCTATCCTCTTTCCTTCGCACTTTCCCAGCTCGGGCAGACATGAGGCCAGGGGAGGATTCTGCAATCAGCCCCAGCTGGGGGGTGCTGCTGGAGCCCTGACACCAGCGGGGGCTGGGGACGGAGGCGGGCGCCGGGCAGCAGCTGCCACCCTCTGTCCCAGGTGAGGTTTATGAGCTTCCTGCCTGGGCAAAGGTGATCGTGGCCGGTGGCTCCCACCCCTAAAATAAACCCCCACACTGCCGTGATCTTCTCCTACGAACAAAGCCCTTCAACTCTGCAGGGGTGGGGTACGTCCAGCCCTCCGGCCCTATAAAGCCTGAGAAATCATCGGGTCTGGCCCTGCCAAGGCATTAGGGTGAGCTCATTAAATATCTGACCCAACAGAGCAGAACTAATACTTAGGTTGATGATTTTGTATGGCCTCGAATGATGTTATGAATATCCAAATGACCCTCGGCCGGAAAAAAGGTTCCCCACCCCTGACCCAAAGAGTGAGGCGGAGTGAGGCGCAGACAGATGCTCGCCTCCAGATGCCCGCCCACCCGGGGCCCTACCTTGCAGTCCACGCTCAGCATGTGCCGGGCGATGACCTTGGGGTCGTTGCTGGTGAACAGCTCCTTGGCTCGCTTCAGCATCGCGGTTTCCAGGGGCTTGTTCTCGGGCGGGAGGAGCTTGGACACGAAGTCGTTGGGCCTGAAGGAGGAGGCCGTCTCCAGGAGGGGCATGGTGAACTCGGCCTCGGCATCCTGCCCCCGGCCCATCTGCTCCGCTGCTGCTGCTGCTGGGAGCGCCCCCGGCCCGGCCCTGTCATTGTCATCAAGAATCAGGTAGTTTGTGCCAGAGTTCCGGGGGCCGGGCGCCCCGTTCTGCTTGGCCTTCAGCAGCTCCACGTAGCTGTCCTGGGCGCCGAGGGGCGGCCTCGCTGCCCGGTCACAGCCCGCGGCCGCCGCCGTGGCGGGGTTCAGTTCGCAGTAATTGGCCTCGGCGTGCAGCCAGGGGGACGGAGACGGGGGAGCCTTGAGGAGGGGCGCCTTGCAGGGCTTGGGGGGCGGCTTGGGGCACAGCTGGCTGTCCGAGCCCCGCAGCGCCTCCCCGGGCCTGGCGTCCGAGGAGACCCTCCGCGCCACCGCCGGGCTCAGCGTGGGCTCGCTGCCCGTCCGGAACACCGGGGAGTTGGGGCAGGGGCTCGTGTCCGCACCCGAGGACTGAGGGGGCATCTTACAGCCTGTGGAGGGGAAGACAGGGGTCAGGAAAAGCTCAGCGGCGGGGAGCACACACAGCAAGCAAAGCTAGAGTGATGGCGTCCCAGCTCTCCATTCGTGCCCTAGGCCGTGAGTTTTCATCCCCTAAAGGTGACTGCGTGTGACCGCCCATGCCCAGCCTGGAGATGTCTGGGACATTCTGAGGGCAAAGCTGGCCGGACCCCACAGTTCCGGAGGAATTGGGAGTCCCAGGGGCTGCCGGCAGCTGGGCGGTCACAGAAAGTCAGGCCAGTCAGAGCAGGGAAACCACGGACTCCGCAGTGAGTAATCTAATCGTGCCCTCAGACACCCAGTCTTCGGCTGCCTGGCACACACACAGGTCTCTGCTCCCTCTCAGCCAGGGCGGGCCCAGAGGGAGAGCTAGAGACCCACTGGGAAGGGGGAGAAAGACGGTGCAACAACCCGCATCGAAGTGGTTTAAGGAGCATTAGGAAAATCCCCGTGTGGTCCCAAGGACAGTCAGGTATAAAGAGAATGAAAGAGTCCTAAGCGGTTTAGCTCAGTGGACAGAGTGTCGGCCTGCGGACTGAAGGGTCCCAGTCAAGGGCATGTACCTTGGTTGCGGGCACATCCCCAGTAGGAGGTGTGCAGGAGGCAGCTGAATTGGTGTTTCTCTCACGCATGTTTTTAACTCTCTATCCCTCTCCCTTCCTCTCTGTAAAAAAAAACACAATAAAATATATATTTAAAAATAAATAGCCGAAACCGGTTTGGCTCAGTGGATAGAGCGTCGGCCTGCAGAATGAAAAGTCCCAGGTTTGATTCCGGTCAAGGGCATGTGCCTTGGTTGCGGGCACATCCCCAGTAGGGGGTGTGCAGGAGGCAGCTGATCGATGATTCTCTCTCATCGATGTTTCTAACTCTCTATCCCTCTCTCTTTCTCTCTGTAAAAAAAAATCAATAAAATATATTTAAAATAAATAAATAAAAAGAAGGAAAGACGGTCCCATGGCTACTGATATAATTGCTTACTCGGTTTCCCCGCATCCCACACCTTCACACTCTTCTGGCGCTGAAAGGAGAACGGAGAGGCGGAGGGGTTGCTAGACAGCTGCTCCACCACGAGCCCGGGACCAGGCCCCCCCCCCCCCCCCCGTCCGGGGAGTGGACCACGCAGGCGCACTGGTCACGAAGACCCCGTCCTCGCGTGGGCTCGGAATCAGAAAACCGGAGTTCAAATGCTGGCTTACCCGCTCACCTGATCAATGCCTCTGGGCAAGGCACGTAACCTCTGTGCCTCAGTTTCCTCAGCCTCGAAAAGGGAATAACCATGCTTGCCTTGTTCAGAGGCTCAGAAGCTAGTGCTTAAAGCACCCAGCTCAGTGATTCCCATCCGGATCGAGTCCTACAAACCTCTGCAGGCAGAGCCCCAGTCTTCCCCAAAGGAGGTGACCAGATGGAGCAGAAAAACAGCCTGAAGGAAATCAGGGGAACACTGTCCCCCCCCCACCCCCGCCCCAACCCCCGCTACCCCCAACATCCCCCAGTGGCCTACCAATCGGCAGGTAGCTCTCCGACTGGTGGGCTTTGAGGGATAAGGCTCTTCTGTCCTGCATGTGATCCAGGCAGGCGGGCTGGCTGCCACTCTTCTCTTTATTTCTGGAGCAAAAGACAAGCCGGCAGAAACCTGTCATTAAGTCATGAGCCTTTAAGCAACACCGAGGAGCGATTGCTCAGCACACGAGTGCCTCCGCATACCCCAACAGGCCCGGAATGTCTGCGGGTGAGACTGCTGATGGGGCGATTATGACAGGACTGTGCCGGGGGCTCCATCCCGCAGCCCCACCACCTGGCCAGCCCGGGCCTTCCCAATCAGCGGGTCAGAGCAGGGGAAGCGTTTCAGAAGAGTCTCAGGAAAACCTGATAAGCTGAAACGTGCACGTTTTACAGAGTCTAACGTTCTTTCCAAGGAGGAACGACTTAATGACTGCCACTCCCCCACAAGGTTAACAGTGTCACGGTTTCCACTTCAGTGTAAACCTCAGGTCCCCCAAACACTCCCCAGGCCCGCCTGGGGGCCGGCACAGCCCCCTCCCTTGGGCGGGGGGGCGGCAGCTGGGAGGCGCAGGCCCGCAGGGGCGAGGGGGGACAGAACGGCCACACGGCCAGCTAGCGTGCCCCAGGCCTTTGCCAGTTCAGGTGGCAATGTCTCCAGCACCGAGGAAGAGAATCTCCTCTTTGCCAGAAGAGAAAGCACTGTACACGTTGTAATGACCTTTCTTCGGCCCTCCTACAAGCTTATGTTACAGAAATCACAACGTTTTTCCTACCTTTTTCAAGCACCAAAGGGGGGGAGGGGGGGAAAGAAAATTAAAAAAAAAAAAAAACACACCACCTCCAAATTCCCAGCAACAGAGAAATTCCAGCAACCCCTCAGAGATAAGGCAGGGCAGAGGGCAAATTCCGAAAGGCAATGGTTTCTGAAAAGTGATCCTTAAGCCGTGATCACGGGGACAGTCAGGCTCCGCTGGCCACACACCAAGCTGGAATGCAACCTGGCCGGGTACACACCTTTGCCCAGGTGGCGGCCGGCCAGCCAACCCGTGGCTGGAGTCAGGGACGCACAGGGGGGTGGGAAGGGGGGCGGGACACCGGTCATTACTGACGTCGAGCCTACCCACCCCCACGGCTGGACACTCCTGCGCCCGCCGCCTGCGCCCAGAGGGACCAGGCTCCGGAGCTCTGCTCTCAGAGGGGAACAGAGGAGGCGTTCTGCTAGGCCTGCCTCCTTCCTGCGGACACTCTCCCAGGCCTTCTTCCGTTTCTGAGCTTATTTCAAAGCCCGGCCTCTGAAGGCAGACCAGGGGCTCTCCTCCCTGAGCCTGACTCAGTGGGGCGTCTGTGTGTCCACAGCCACCCTCCGGCCCTGTCATGGCATTGACTCCCTGCGCTTCAGCTGAAGAATTCCCAGGAAAACAAGAAAAAAGTACCTACCACTTGAACATCCTAAGGGATCTCAAATCTAGTCTTATTACCGTGGAAAGGAGGATTTCTAAATACCTTAGGACAGTGGTTGGCAGACTCATTAGTCAACAGAGCCAGATATCAACAGTACAGCGATGGAAATTTCTTTGGAGAGCCACATTTTTTAAAACTTAAACTTCTAATGACACTTCTTCAAAATAGACTGGCCCGGGCCATGGTATTTTGTGGAAGAGCCACACTCAAGGGGCCAAAGAGCTGCAGTTTGCCGTCCAAGGCCTTAGATAAAAGTTCTTCCTCCCTGCCCTGGCCGGATGGCTCAGTTGGTTGGAACACATCTCGTACACCAGAATGGTTGCCGGTTCATTCCCAGTCAGGGCACATACTTAGGTTGCGGGTTTGATCCCTGACAGTGTGTATATCGGAGGCAACCAATTGATGTTTCTCTCCCTCTCTCTCTCTCCCTTCCTATCTCTCTAAAATCAATAAAAAAAAACATATTATTGGGTGATAATTTTTTTTTTTAAAAAGTTCTCCCTCCCTTCCTGGTACTGTCTTCAGTCTTGCATTGTACTTCCCTCCAGAAATAATAATCATTATGGTTAACACTTACTTAGCACTTACGTGCTGTTCTAAGCTCTCTGCACACTGAAACCATTTAACCCTCACAAGCCCCATCTTCCCGATGAGGAAAGTGAGGCCCAGAGCAGGTACCAGGTGAGAGGCGGGCCAGCATTCACGTCCAGGCGGGCACAGCCAGATGCTGACTGACATCTACCAGAGCTTCCTAGTAGCACAGCTGTACTTTGTGTTTCTCAGAATCCTGTATTTTCCTTCTGAATTCTTGAATTCAGGACATTTCTGTCTATGACATTTCCTCCTGGCCCATCTGATGAATATCTTTCCAGGGAGGGTGAGTTCCTTGTCTGCCTCGCTAAGCCCGGACACGGCCGGAGGGCCCCTCCGCGGCCCCGCCACCTGGAGGCCCTGACCCACCTGAGCAGGTTTCCTCTGGACAAGCCGGGCTCGCGGGCCTGGACGCCGGCCGCGGTGAGGCTCAGCCTCTTGGCCACGTCGGGCTGCCCCTCCACGAGGCTGCGGTCGCGGGCCAGGCCGGGGGCGGTGCCGTAGCGCTCCTCCAGGCAGCGCAGGGGCACCGTCCGGTTGATGGGCTGGAAGATGACGGCCCCACTCTGCTGGGAGATGGGCCGGCGGTTGCCCACGTAGCAGCGCACCAGGCCGGGGATGGAGTCGAAGCTCTCCGCCTCGAACTGGTACTGCACGCGGCTGTAGGCCTCGCTGAGCCGGAGGACCGTCCGCTGGATCTTGAAGTGCTGAGCGAGGTTCTTCCACTGACAGGTCAGGACGAAGTTCCCGGGGCTGGACAGGGAGTCTCGGACCAGGAAGTCGCCATCTCGCTGCACCAGGTTTTCGGACACCTTTGGGGACAAAACCGCGAGTGAGGAGCAGGAAAGCGAGGCAAGCTTACATTCCTTTTAAAACCTGTATTTCTTTCTGCTTCTCTGGGCCAACAGAAGACAATGCCGTGTTGTCTCTACTCCCTTCGTTGGCTCTTGACTTTTCGAACGTCTAATTCTTAGAGGACCCAGTCATTCGTGCCGGCCACCCCGTAGGTGCCAAGACCCGCTGAAGGCACCGGGTTCACAGCAGTGAACGAAGCAGCCTGGCGTCCCCGCTGCACGGACCTTCTATTCTGAGTGGGGAGCTTCTTCTTAGCGAGGCGGGCATGGCATGTCAGATGTCGTAAAGCGAAGGAAAAAGTACACCAGGAGGTAGGTGCCTGGGAGGGGATGGGGGATCGCTGTCACAAAGTGGTGCAGGATCAGTTCCCAGTCGAGTTGGTGCCAAAGGTAAATGACATGGCTGCTGAGGAAGGGGGCTTGGCCAGGAGAGGTTTTAAGGAGGAGGGAGGAGCCAGCTGGTCTGAAGGCCAGGGCACATTTGGTTGGATGCGAAGGCAGTGCTGCACGTGGGGCTCAGCAGGAGCAGAGGGCGGGCTAGAAAGGGGCAGGGTGCTCGGAGGAGGAAAGGATGCGGCTGGAGCAAAGGGTCTGCGAAATGGGCGGGCAGGGCTGGGCGTGGACAGGACCCTGGTCAGACGGAGGTCCTGGAACAGAGTCAGGAGGAATATACATCTGCATCCACAATAGATGCAAAGCACAAGTACAATGGAACATGGTATCCGATTTAAAAATCGTTAACTATGAGGACGCTGACGCTTATAGAAAAAGGAGAATGTACACTGTGGTGCAGAGTGATCTGATAGGCAGCAGGCCCGGGTTTGCGTTCTGGCTCCGCTGTGTGGCTCTGGGCAAGTTACCTATCTCTCTGTGGCTCCGTTATGGGACCTGAAGAGCAGGGATCATGTGACTACAGCAGCAGACAAAATGGAAAGGAGCGTTAGCCGTAACTATCATTATTATTGTTACAGGGTTCAGGGATGCAAGCTGGGATGATGTAGAGCTGAAAATTCACACTCATGGCAAGTGGAAACCAATTTTATGGTCGAGAGAGGGAGAAGCATGGAAGGGACAGTCATAGATTTTATAAACTTTGATAATTTTCCCAGGCCACTCCAACATTGGATCAGTTAGCTTAGAACAGTATGCACCATGGTTACTTTGAGTTGCATCTTTGCCTTAAAAATATTTTTTGTCACTCCCCCAAAATTTCCACTTCTTGGAATTGAGCCTGGGGAAATAATTATAGCTGTGAACATAGAAGTGATCTTACAGGATGCTGGTCAGCATGCCCAATAGATAATGGTGCGTGTGTACAATGAAAATGCACACAACGTAGGATGGTATGGGAGAACACTTGATAGTCGGAGGAAATTCTCAGGGTGTGCCATTTTAATGGAGAAAGTGGGCTTCCAAAAAGGATATGGGGTGTGATGTCATCCTTGATTTAGAAATGTCTGGGAGGATTTTTATCAAACGTTCACAGTGGTTATCTCCAGGAGGGAGAATTAGGAGTGAGGGGGCAATTTTCTTCTTTTTATCTCCCTGCATTTTCTACAATCAAATTTAAACTTAAAAAAAAAAAAAAGAGAGAGAGAGAGTCGAAACCGGTTTGGCTCAGTGATAGAGCGTTGGTCTGCGGACTGAGAGGTCCCAGGTTCGATTCCGGTCAAGGGCATGTACATTGGTTGCGGGCACATCCCCAGTAGGGGGTGTGCAGGAGGCAGCTGCTCGATGTTTCTCTCTCATCGACGTTTCTAGCTCTCTATCCCTCTCTCCTCCTCTCTGCAAGAAATCAATAAAATATATTTTTTAAAAAAGAGAGAGAGAAAAAGTTAGACTAAGGATTATTTCATTCATAAAGCTGAAAAATCTGCTTCATTAAAAAAATAACTCATGACATGATGCCCTTCTCACCCCTGCCCACTCCTTTCCTGTCATATTGTCTTGGGTAAATGACTGGCGGGTCAGGTTGTAATAAAAGCCCAAGGAAAATTCTGGACCTTGGTCCTGTGCTTATTTTATTTTCCACTTTCTATATTATTAAGCAAACAAAGCCTCATTATTTATGGCTACCGCTCAAACAGCCATCGCAAAGTACACTCCAGGCCATGAATCTGTGATCACTGACCTGGTCCCTCTTCTCCCCGATCCCTGGGCCAGGGGGCCAGGCAGAGCACGGGGGGAGGGAGAAGAAGGGGGGCGCACTGTTGCTTTGCGCCTCTGCCTCAGTGATATCCCTCTTTATCGAACATAAGTCGCTGCCTTAGAAAGGAAGCAGGCTGCAGAGGGCGTGAGGCTGCAGGCAGCCAGCCAACAGTTCAATCATCAGAACCACAGCCTGGCCTTGCTTCTCAGGTACCACCCTGCGGTGGCCGCCTCCTGCCGGCCCCGTGTTTGCAGACCACAGAACGCCTGCCTTTTCCGCATCCACTTGCTGGGTGTGGGGAAGTGTACTTTGGTTTTCTGACTTTCGCTTTTCCCAAGGTGTCCTTAGTTAAGACACTGCGGGGCATTTTCTGGTATTTGTTTTTGGCTAAACGGGGCTCCCTCCTACATGGCCTTGGTGCATGGTCCTGGGCTTGCACGCTGTGTGAGCACAGCAGGGCTGTGCTGGCAGGGAGGAGGCAGGTACCTGTCGGGGGATGCGGCCGTGGTACCAGGCGTGGCTGCGCAGGTCCTCGCTGCTCAGCAGCAGCTCCTCCTCCAGCTCCTTCTTCAGCCTCTCGGGGGTTCTGTCCATGACGTGCCTCTCCTTGGAGAACTGCAACACAGAGTCCACACTGACCTCCCGGCCTGCCCACGCCCGCCGGGCAGGGCCAGCTGGCGACGGCTGCCCGCCTTACGGCTGGCTGCTCTGCCGATCAGACCCGTGTATGCCCAGAGCCCTGTCCAGGTAGGGGAGCCTGGATAATGATTACAATTAGCTGCGACCTTTCGTTTCTCTGGCTGTCAGTGTGCAGTATAACGTCCACCTGCCCATGGGGACTGTGATCGGAGAGACGGCCACGCTGTGCCTTTATCAGTCCACTCAGGTGGCAGTTAGAAACGTGGGCAGCTGGGCAGGGGCAGCAGAGGGAGAAGCGCGGGCCAGAGGCACACTGAGGCCGCAGAGCACTTCCTCAGCGCCGTCCTGGGAACCGAAGCCGGGAGGGACAGCCGTCCCCAGCTGGCTGGTGGTGACAGCTCTGGATTCGCTGCTACCGGCAAATCCAGGCTAGGAATGGAGTCAGCCTTAGAGACTTTCAGAGTAATTTTACACTTCTTGAATCTAATAATAGAAGTCTACGCTTACATTTTGTATGCCTTTTAAAAAAAATACATTTTATTGATTTTTCACAGAAAGGGAGAGGGATAGAGAGTTAGAAACATCGATGAGAGAGAACCACTGATCATCTGCCTCTTGCACACCCCCCACTGAGGATGTGCCCGCAACCAAGGTACATGCTCCTGACCGGAATCGAACCCGGGACCTTTCAGTCCGCAGGCCGACGCTCTATCCACTGAGCCAAATCGATGCCGGCTTGTATGCCTTTTTAATTTCATTTTCTAATATTTTATTTTTAAGTCAGATTGGAAGCTGAAACGTTAAACCAAAACAGCGACAACTGGTCCTTCACCTCAGATGGTCTGAGTCTCTGCTCTAGGTCACCCCCCGGCGGGCGGCCGGGGCGGGAGGTCTGGGTGGGCAGCACTGGCTTCCAGTTTAATTTAGAAACCACGCCCACTGATGACCTGTGACCTGCACTTGGATACCTGCCCGGTTCCCAGCAAAACCAGGCTCAGGGATGGCTGACTGGAGGTCATGGGAGCAGGAAAAGGCTGTGTCCTTGTGTTTTCCCAAGTTCCCCTGCTTGGCCTCAAAAGCCCTGAGGAACTAGCAAGCTATCCTTATCGCCCTGCTCTGTCCCCGAGCGGGGACAGGGCCCCACATGCCTCTCCACCAGAGAAAATGAAAACAGACAGGATTTCCCAGCTGGCTTCTTATCCTGGTCTTTCTGAGCATGCGAGCCCATGGAGGCACTGGCCTCAGAATGACTCAGGGGCCACTTTCAAGGTGGGGCTCCGGCTTACTAATTGCTTACTTCTTCCTCCTCCTCTCCCCCACCATTGTTCTCTCAGTGCAGGCATGGGAGGGTTTGATAAGCGGAATCCCTGTCAGAGAGGCTGCCCGATGCCCGAAGGAGTCAGCAGTGCTGTGGGACGCGGCTCACGCACAGGTGCTCCTGAAGACAGCCCACTGGGAAGACTTGAGGGTAGAATGTAGACTGTCCACTGGGCCACATCCACTGTTAGTTTAGTGTCTGTCTCGCTCCCATTAGATTTTAAGTTTCACAAGAGCAGGGACCCAAGGGTCTTCTTCCCAGCTACCCCCAAGCAATGCCTGAATGTATCAGGCACTCTGTCCTCCCTGAATGAATGCATATGCCAAGATGAGGCAGCTCTATGACTTTGCTTAGTTATGAAGATCCTCCTCTTCTCTCTCCTATTCTAGCTGGGCATGCTGGCACAGAGCTAACGGATGGCATCTTCACTCTCCCTCTCTCACAGGGAGATGTGATGCCTCAGCTCTGGCCAAGGAAAGGTCCACTGCAGTGCTGGTGGGACATCGTAGCTGAGCCGCCATGGTGGGAGCCACAACACCATCCTAAACCCTAAGGAGGAAGCCACACCCTGGGGGAGCACAAGACACTGCGGGGTCAATATCCCAGCCCCGGATTGCCCGCCTCCGGGTCTTCCTTGTGATCTCCTGTCTCGTTTAAGCCTGTTATTTTGGGTGTTCCTGTCACTGGCAGCTGAACTAAATCCCAAGGCTACTGTGACCCTGGCCCCTATTTAGCCACCCTGACGGTCTGTGTGCCCAGCCTATATCCCTCGGGCTGCATTGTTGGACAGAGCTCTGAGACATGTAGAGATCAGCAGAGCCTATCTATCCTCCATGTAACCCTCCGGTGAAAGTGTGCTCTCTGTATTATTTCTCCGTCTTCTCCTTCCTCTCTGATAGCCAACAACCAGACTGCTCCTCACTGTCCCACCCACTCTTTCTTTTCCAGCATCTCTCATAAACTGTAAGGGTGTTGTTGTTATTTTTTTTTGTTTGTTTGTTTGTTATTGTTGTGAATCCTCACACGAGGATATTTTTCCTCTTTTTCTTTAAAGACAGTAGAGGGAGGGGGAGAAACAGAGAGAAACATCGATGTGAGAGAGACATAAAGATTGGTTGCCTCCCACACGTGCCCAACCAGGCCTGGGGATCAGCCTGCAACCAATGTACAGGCCCTTGACTAGAACCAAACCCAGGATCGTTCAGTCTGCAGGTCAATGCTCTATCCACTGAGCCAAACTGGCTAGGGCCATAAGGTTTTTTGTTTGTTTGTTTGTTTTGTTTTTAGCATTTTATGTGCAATAATCTTTCACTCCAGTTTTTGAGATAATACTGTTTTATACTTGCTACCAAAAATATAAAGTCAACTATCTTATTACTTCTATCCTAACTCCTCAGAGGAAAATCGACAATTATTGTTCTCTTCCTGTAGACTCTGTAGACGGGGCGCTATAGGAAAGTATACAGAGAGGAGAGAAACAGAGACCAGTTAAGACTGACCTTCCTGAATAATTCAGGAGGGAAGACTAGACTTCAAAAAACATGCCCTTGCCCAGCCAGTGTAGCTCAGTGGTTGAGCGTTGACCTAAGTACCAGGAGGTCACAGCTCAATTCCCAGTGCCTGGGTTGCAGGCTTGAACCCCAGTGGGGTGTGTGCAGGAGGCAGTAAATCAATAATTCTCTCTCATCATTGATGTTTCTATCTTTCTCTCCCTCTCCCTTCCTCTCTGAAATCAATAAAAAATATTAACATATATATATATATATATCCTTAATTTCTTGCATAAATTATGAAAACTTAGGAGGTTACACAATTGCTCAAGTTGTATTTGAAAGAGAAGGGAGGGGAAGATACAGAGAGAGGAAGAGGAGGAGTGGGGAGAGGAGAGAGTTGGGAGGAAGGAGACACAGGAACAATTGCAAAGAGTTCTTCATTCCCAGCCAGTGGAGGCTGGCTTACCGCATTAAACCAGCTGGGTGGCTGCTGGGCGCTTCTGCCTCAGCAGGTGATGTGGGCACTTAAGAAGGCAATTCAAAAGTCACCCATGGGTGGTCATGCTCCTCATTAAACAGTGGTTTAATGCTGTTCCTTTGGGGATAGATGCCTGCTAGAACTTTCACTCACTGTTTTAATCACATATAGGAATGCAACTTTTATTGTTTTTCCCAGTGCCTGTGTTTTATTAGGCCTTGACCTTGCCAACTATGGTTTTGCTGCTATAGTTAAGTACTTTGATGGGCTGTCAATCCCACGGTTGGTGACGGGTGACCATCCACCGTATTAGAAAATTGACAAAATGTACCCACTTGTCTCTTTGAGAGCACCGCAATTGGTATTTGTGCTCCCTGGGGACCAGGAATGAGATTCCTGCTTCATGGAACGGGTCATACATTTGATCGAATTATGTTGGTTTTCCCCAAATACCCAAACTTTTGCTATTAGCGACCCTTCCACTTACCGGCTGCCCTCTGGGAGGAATCTGAGTTTCTCCCAGAGATGCAACCCTTTCAGCCATGGCCTAGACTAGTTCTGGACCATGAAGTAAATTCTAGCAATTAGAAGTAACACCATAGCTACTTTGCCTTCGGCAATGGTTTTATTCACCTGTGTGATCATCCGTGTCCTCTGAGATTCTGATTCTACTCGTGCCAAAGACTCCTCCCGCCCTTCCTCAGGCTACCTTCTGAGGCAAGGGGAGGAGAGCGGTTCTCACTGACGTAATATTCACATGCATTGTTATTTTATGCGTAGCCCAGAATTAAGCAGGAGAAGCGACAGAATAAGAGGCAGGTCCCAACACTCCAACAGCTTCCAATCTTGGGAGAATGAAGAGGACACAGCACATCACGCACACCCGGTCCGGGTCCCAAAACCTTTCCTTTCCTCCCGGCTCGCACTTCCCCATTCTTTCACGTTGCTTTCTGTAGAATTCCCGGATCCAATGGGCCTCAGAGACTGGCTGGACCCAAATCATTCTCCATTCCTCTGTGGGCATGGGGTGTCAGCACGGAGCAGTGGCACGGGGCAGTGGGCATCTGGGACAGGGGGCACCGTGACACCCAGAGCAAGTTTAATATAGCTGTGCTCCCTCAAAAATTTACACCGTGCCAAAGCCGGTAGAGCGTAGGCCTGCGGACTGAAGGGTCCCAGGTTCGATTCCCATCAAGGGCATGTACCTTGGTTGCGGGTACATCCCCAGTAGGGGGCGTGCAAGAGGCAGCTGATCAATGTTTCTAACTCTCTAACCCTCTCTCTTCCTCTCTGTAAAAAAAAATCAATTATATATATATATATATATATATATATATATATTTTTTTTTTTTTTTTTTTTTAAGCCGAAACCAGTTTGGCTCAGTGGTAGAGCGTCGGTCTGCGGACTGAAAGATCCCAGGTTCGATTCCGGTCAAGAGCATGTACATTGGTTGCGGGCACATCCCCGGTGGGGGTGTGCAAGAGGCAGCTGGTCCACGTTTCTCTCTCATCGACGTTTCTAGCTCTCTATCCCTCTCTCCTCCTCTTTGTAAAAAATCAATAAAATATATTTTTTTAAAAATATATATATATTTTTAAAATTTACACCGAATGGACACACAAACTCACTGGCCCTTTGGAGTTGATATTCTTCAACTACCAGACTGAGAGAGACAGCAAGACAACT